CAGTGCCTGCTAATCTGCATGAGCGAAATGTGCAGAGCCACCCTCGTTTGTAAAACGGATGGAAAGCAGATGTTAGTACCCGGGAACGCCCTTCGTTTTGTTAAAAGTTTAATTCTTTGCGCTGAGGAGCTAGGACAGCACCCCCGCCATCTCCCAAAGCAATAAACAAAACAAAACTTGGCTCTTCTGTTGCGGAATCACCCCTCCAGGGATTCACTTAGCCTTCTGTACAAGAAAAGGGATTAAGGGAAGAATAGGGAGGAAGGAAAGGGAGGAAACTTGAGAAAGTGGAAACAAACCCTGAGATGATCAATGGAGGCGAGCACTGGGTGAAAAGACAGAAGTGTAACAACACAAAAACAAGGCACAAAAAGGTGAGGGCGTAACTGGTACCAAGCAGAAAGCAAGGCGGTGCTCAGCGAGGGCAGGGAAAGGCTCCAAAAAGGCTCCATCCCATGGGTTCAGCAGCAAGCCAGGCACGTGAGGCAGAATAATCCCAAACGCTGGCTGCCAGGCACGCTGCAACGGAGGAGTCGGGTGAAACAGAACAGTTTATTTCGTTTGTTCCGAGACACAAAGGAGGGGGGACGACGCTGTAAACAAAAGGGAAGTAAAACAATCAATCAATACAGGACTGGTTGCTATTTAAAAATAAATCAACGATTCAAGCAGGAGGGTGAAAGACTAGCTCCTCATTTCTGAGAGCACAGACAACACAATGCACTCAAGTGCTGTTTTATTGACTTCTTGGCAATCTGCTCATACCACAGGTCCATCTCCCAGCACGTTGATGCTGCAGATCCCATTCCAGTCACATGTAGAAATGAAACAAAGCAGAAGAACGCTGTTAACAACAGAGCCCCGATGCTCATATCGCTCTCAGTCAACCTCATTAACCTCAGCAGACGCGCCAGTCGATTTGCCTACCAGCCCAACACCGACAGGAGAGGATTCGATACAGCCCTCCGAGAAGATCAGAGAGGCAATTATGTAAACTTTAGAAATTAGGCTTTGGCTTAAACAATAGTGATTGTTTCGAGCAAGCTCTGGAGCAGTCACCAGTGAGACAGGCAGGCCGGTGACCGCGCAGCATCGCAGGGCACCGCGTGCTCCACACCCTGGGTCCATCAGCTCCTTGGTCCCATCATTCATTAATTTTTTTTTTTGGCACAGACTGGCAGGAGCCCTGCACAGGCCAGCAGGAATGGGCTGCCAGAGCCCACAGCGCCTCCCACCAACATCCCGATTTGTTCCAGAGAAAGAAATCGCAGCAGCAGCTGGCGAGGCACCAGCCTGCCCGGGGACAGGCGCACGCACGAGCACAGCGCCCGATGCCGCTCAGCTCCAGGACGGAGCTGCCTCACATGCAGCTGGCTCGGCGCACACGTGTGTCTGTTTGCAGCCGTGTACTGAAACCTGTTCTGAAAAACTGCATCGAGTTCTAACTGCTGCAAAGGCTACCAACACGGATATCACACGCAGAGTAACTAAAACTGCAGCTGAAGAGACTACTGAACTGCTCTCATGTTAGGAAAACAAAACGCAAGGCTTAAAAGCCACTGTTATTAGCAAGACCCCCCAAAGCCTGCACTGGCCGCGCACCACGGGTGTGCTTTTCCACCTCTGCGAGGAGAGGCTGCTGCAGTACCTCCAGTTTATTTTTTCCAGGAGAAGCAGAGATGAGTGAAGCTGTGCTGAGCTTTTGCTCGTACATACATAATCATACAGCTGAGCCGTGCTGATACATTTGTACTTGAAGGAGTCTCAGATCTGTAACTAGCATCTTTGTTTTCTCCTCTTAGAAGATGCCTTTAACAATGACTTGGAGCTACTCCACATCAAACGGAGCGGGATTGTAAAGTTGTGGCCTGTGAGGAGCAAAGCCAGGCTACGGACTGCTCCCGAGGCACAGGGTGGCTCAGCAGAAAGTGGAAATCGCCGCCCATGGCCATGGACTGCAGCTCACACTCATCTCTAGCCAGAACAGCTTCAGATTAAAAGCGACAGCAATCTGACATTGCAGATCCAGAACCACTTTTTCATTCTCCGGATGATGAAACTCTCTCCTTTAAAGAGGGCCAGCAGAAGGGCTTCTGAAAATATGTACGTGGTACATAGGTGTCAGGCCAGCACACCCTCTGGGCCTTCAACTTAATCATCACTTGCCTGTACGGCACAAGAATAGGGACCTCATTACACACTCTAGCTGCATCCCTCTGCATCTTTCCCTGCTCACATTCTAAATACCTACTACAGCAAAATCAAATTCTATCAAAATTATTTTCATGACAGGACCTACAGCTCGAGGTCCTCTCTTTGATCAAAATCATTCAAACTGTTAACATTAAAAAATCATTCCCTCCTGCAAGGAAAGGAAACTTATAAATTGCTAAACCCATCTGTCCAATGAAGAGCAGAGCCTAGAGAATGATCAAGTAAATCACCTCCGCTAAAGAAAGACCAGTGAACGCGTCAGTCAAAACGCTGTGCCGGGGCATGTCAGCGGACTGAAAGAGTCAGGCTTACCTGGCTTGGGCACAATGCAACAGAGAAACAACTTTGTAAAGGGAATTGAAGAGCCAAAGAAAGTTATCAGCATGTTCATAGACCTGCCAGGCTGTAGAGGATCAAGGAAGCTACACTACCACGAATCAAACAAATCAGCTCTCTGATCACCCAAGGGGCAGCAACGGCCAGATCTAGCTATTACCGCTATCCTCAGCGAGGAACGCAGCAAAGGCTTTCATCTCTGCATCAGCTAAACAAGCAGAAAGTACCTAAAAGAGGCATGAAAGGATATAAATGATATGAAATTAGGGCACATCCAAGTGCTGGCGTTCACATGACAGCATTACTAAAAATATATATATATTTAAAAATCTTTTGCCTGTGTGCAAGTCGGAGCTGCCAGCACCTAGGGTGACATTTCTCCAGGAAACCTCTCGGAAATGCTGCCCCTCGCACGGGTGAGCACCAGGACCACACCGCTCCATCAACAGCCTCACGAGGGATTTCGGGGAAGCAGCCAGACCCCGAGCTCCCAGGTAATCAGCAGCGAAACCATTTGTCATTGCTATCTGATAAAGGTACCCTTCTGCCCCACTCTGTTAAGCATTTTGTCCCCTTATCTAGAGGATCTGCTAACCAAAAGAAGGAAGCCTTACTTCAGACATTCTCAATTTTCACCATAAAGGTAAAGTCCCAAGCCTTACAGCTGCACCTCTTATGGAGGGAAGTCCCTGGCCCGCAGGGTAACTTCCCTTGGGTTCTCCTAACAAAGGCACTACCAATTTTGGGTGGAAGAAGGACTAAGGATACAGGTCTGCACTGCCCAGAATTTTCCAAGGAATGACCCTCCCTTGCCTGGCTGAAATGTGCTGTGAATAGAAGCACTTTGCAAGCAGTTTTCACCATTTTAGCAGTAGATCCACCTAACAAAGACATTTCTAACACAGCCAAGGTTTGGTCCGACATTGTAAGAATCCAGCTATGGACACAAGGAGCTGCACAGGAACCCTCCAGTTTGCTGGACTGACCTCAGGCAGAGCCAGCAGCTCAAAATCCAGAAGCTCGGTAGATGTCACACATTTCTCCAGCGAAAGTACCATTGCAGCCCCTGAGACTCGCACTGGGGCAGAGCAGCCTGCACACTCACAGCCCTACAGACTACACAGCCAACATCTCTTGGAGAAACACCCCCTTGGGCCAACTGGCACAATTCATTTGTAAACATCTTTGCTCTGTAAACCCATGTAACAACCTGTATTATCAGGTGTAACAGCTAATCCTGCAACTACACAACATTGATTTAACTCACTGCTCTTTCCCCATACTGTTCTGTCTGAACTACGGAAACGCCACCCATGCCCAACACTGATATAAAAGACAACAAAAGCTCTCCCAACTCCACCATTAGATGCAGAGCTGATTACAGAGACGCCTACTAAAGAGGTCGCCTGATACTGCATGAAGGAAAGAGGATCAGCCCACCGAAGGAACCCACTTGCCTGATGCTTCAGGCTGACTGCCACAGTCAGGAGAGAGAGGGATATGAGCACCCTTCAAGTACCGATAGGCCAGCAGACACAGCTGCAGCACTCGAGTCCAGAGCCATTAGATTTCAAATGCTGAGGATTCATCCAGGAGTCACATTTTCCTTAGTGTCTCCCCGTGCAGTTGGCAGCACTCAGCGTAGCATCCTTTAGCTTACAGCTCCACCTTTCCCCAGAAACACATATAAAGGAAACAGGTTTGGTCCCCTTTCCCCTGCCCCAGCTACCAAAGTGTTTGTGCTTTTAATAGTCCTTATAAGCAATTATAAAAAAATAAAACTTGAGCATTGGTAAGGTGATTCCACTGATGGACTTGCACCCCCGTGGGCAGTCTTCACAGTTGGTGCCACTGATCCCAAATCATCTAGAAAAAAAAACAACACAACACCCAGCATCAGAGTGAGCACATACAACTTGGCAGATCATTAGCAACCTCAAAAGAGCTGAGGGAGCGGAGAGGCCAGAAGCAAGCCATGCCTAGCTGACATTCCTCCTCAGCTTTAGGAGAATATTCTCCAGAGAATCAAACTTGCATGATCCAGGGAATGAAAGCACATTGCTATGAAAGCAGGAATGGATACCTTAACAGGACCATGAGTTTAGCTGTGACTTGACATAGAGGCAATTCCCCCGTTTGAGAATCAGACAGCTTTATTTCCATGTCAGGGCCACGAGGGATGTGTGTCCCTGCTGCTGGCCTGCTGAGCACACAGCACAACATGGTGCCCCAAACACCAACCGTCTGCAAAACCAGGACAGGTGCCCCTCGGGGTGCTGGTCAGGAGATGAAGAAAGGCAGAATAAAGTCCATGTGCTGACACAGAAGACCACAGGCAGCAGCTTCATTTCTGCAGAGCTGGTTACATGATCTGTGCCAAAGCTTCCACACTTTCAGAAAGGATCCTGTTAGTTTCTCGTGAGGAAAAGAGAAGCGCAGGAGATGCCCGCTTACCGCCTCAGGTTCCGTGTTTCAAACACTGTGTCCTCGTCACTGTCGAGCGAAGCCATCTCGATGTTCTCATCGTAATTCGACAGGAGGCCGTATTTCTTCCGCTGCGGCTTCTTCAACCTGAAATTAGTTTTGAGCTCCCTGGGTCCCTTTGGTCTAGAGCTGAGGGCACACAGATGGCAGAGTGAGTGCTCTGTCACCTGCATCACAACAGGTTCGTGCAGAGACGGGGCCTTACGGCTCCGTGGGCACAACAAACGGGACCGGGAGGCTTTTTAGCATTAATTAATAGTGGCATGAACGTACGGGGCTGGTTCCCCTGCCATAGGGAAGCATCTTTGTGCAGCTCCTGGCCTGGCGGAGGAAGGGGAGCCAGGGCAAATGGGCACAACCCAGTTGGGGGGGCAAACTGGGTACTGGGACAGGACAAACTGGGTACTGGGATGGGACAAACTGGTTACTGGGATGGGGCCCGCACTCACCGGACCGCCCGCAGGAGGAAGTAGAGCGCAGCCAGCGCGGACAGGGCGCTGAGCACGTACAGGGCCCGCTTCAGCACCGGCAGCCCCAACCCAGGCAGCGGCCCCGGCCTTGGCTGCGTCCCGTTACCGGCAGTCGCCCGCGGCGCCTCGGTGACATTGAGCTGGGCCGGGGTGGGTGGTCGGGGTGGCGGCCCTGCCGCCGTGTAGCAGCTGCAGCAGGAGGAGGAGGAGGATGAGGAGGAGGCAGCAGGGGCTCCGGCCGCAGCATGGCCGGGCGGCTCGGAGCGGTGCAGGCGCAGGAAGGCGGCGGGGCCGTGCTGTGCAGTGCAGGCACCGTCCGGGCCCGGCGGAGCCGCACGCGGCGTTCCGGGGCAGCGCCGTTCCGTGGGGCCCTGGGCCGGTGTCAGGCTCCCTGCATGGGGCTGGGCTCAGCGGGGTGCTGAGGAGGCTGCCCTGCATCTCCCACTACCGCCACTGTGGCCTTCACAGCCCGAGACCCCTACCACCGTCACCACGTCCCCCTCCCTCAGAGCCACCCCGGCCTCCTGAGGGCCGCCATTTCCCCCTCACTGCACGACTCCTTCGCCCAGGGGTGCCGTTGCTCCTCAGAGCTGCCATTTCTTCTTCGCCACACAAACCCCAGCCTCAGGGTCTTTGCTCCACTTTGTCCCCTTACTCAGGGGCAGCCGCAGCCCCTCGGGCCCTGCAGAACAGCAGATGAGGGCTTGTAGGATGTCACCAGCCGTCCCCTCGGCCTTGAGGGGAGCCCGTCACCATCCCGGGGGGTGCACTTGGTGGGGGACAGCGAGCAACTTGCAGCAAACCTTCCTCCCAAAACCCCCAACTCTCACAGTGGTGAACATTTAAAACGACAGCACGAGAGCTCCCACTCCCCAGGTGGTTTATAAACCACCCTAAAGCATTGTCCTTTTGGGGAGAGGCCAAAACTGTCTGGGCATATCAGACTTGTACAAAAATAACCCAACAATTCCAGGCTGGAGGGGGGTCACCCCTCTCAGCTCACACCAGTAGGTGTCACAGCAGCCCCATGGCACCCAAGCACTGTCTTGCATTCAGCCCCTGCAGCCAGCGATCCCCAGGCACAGCCCGAACCCAGCCCAGCAACAAATCATTAATGTAGCACTGTAATTAGCGATGCCGAAATAACATCATCTCAAACTAGGCCTGTTTTTACACCTATAATTATTTTTGCTTGTGTTTAAGCATCTAGGCAACCTATATAGGAACATACAGGTCTTTCAAATAATGCTTTGTAAGTAGTTACATATTGAACTTGTTTAAATTTCACCTGACTGCATTATTATTTAAAATCAGCCAAAGGCTCTCACACTCTCAGTCCTATATTTAATATCATCCTCCATTAACATATAAAGTGCAAATTAAGAATTACCAGATACTGCCCCCAAAAATGTATCAGCGGATTTAACTAGAAGCACTGCTCATTTGGGTAATTTGAAAAGGTTGAAAAAAAAAAAAAAAAAAAAAAAGGTTCCAGGAAGTAGGCTTCATCATCATCCCCATTCTGCATGAACAGAACGCCCCCAGGGCTCCTGCAGACCCTTATCACTGCACAGGAAATTGCGATGGAAAATTGCCATGTCCGTAGTAGGGCAGCAAACCCTACATGCTGAATTCCTTTGTGCCTGGGAGTCCCCAACAAGAAGGAACACTTCTTAATAAGAGCAAGTTTTTAAAAACTAGAGTTACCCATTAATTTAGCTTATTTGTAGCAGCTAAGTGTCTGGCCTCCATCACACCTGTCTGCTCTGCGGAGCTAATTCAAGCAACAACAGAACGCAGACGCCTCGGTGGGGCCATGTGCTGGCAAGCAGCTACAGCTTCCCTTAATAGCCAGGCTTTACACCACAGCCTGCAGAACACACAATCAATCCTGCCCTTCAAATACCACGGCAGTAATTGTTACCAGGCTCAATACCCACAGCTGCATAATTTCTTCAGGCACTTAGGCTGTACGAGCAGACTTCTTTTTTGCATAATAACGCTGCTTAAAAGACTATTCTTCAAGTGGGACTTAGCATAGCCAACAGCTAGAGAAGCAGCTGTTAAAGATGGAGGGTTGGGGTGAAAAAAAAAGCAGGATAAAGCAATCAAATTTGTTAACACAAAGGTAGGCAGGACGGTAGCAAAGAGAACCAGAAACCCTCTTGGTGCTTTGTCCAGCTACCACATTGCAGTCTCCTGCCTCATTCTCCGCAAAGCTGCCAGAGATGCATTCACAGCTGTCAGCCTTTCCATCGGTACAAATCCTTATTGAGCTGCCACATTTTGAGGATTTAAGCAAGAATGAGACCTCATTTTTCATGAGAATCAGGCACCTGCATCAATTCAGTGTGAAGCAATTGAGCGTGGTTACAGTGGCAGCGGGTCTCTCAGGAACGCAGCATTCATTTTGGAGCAGGAGCCCCATGCCAGCCATCAGCCAGACCAGGGCAGAGTGGAAAAAGTAATTTAAGTCGCTTCCGCTCTGCTCTATAGCGCAGCAAAACACAGGTGTAGCATTTCGAGGATGACAGCCTGAAGGGCAAAGACCTTTAAGGACAGTTTGGGTTACAGTGTGATGTATCGGAAAACATCCTCCACTACTCAGGGAAGAAGAGTTTGTGTAACCTGAAGCATGCAAGAAACGAGTCAAGGACAACTGAAGGAATTCAGCACCCAGCACTCATCTGACTTCATAGACTTGGTAGCAAGTGGATAAGAAAATCAAGTTATTGCATGCATACAGAGGAGCAACAAAAAGGGCAGTTTGATTTGATGCAAGGTAGAGGAACCCAAACTGCAGTTAATGAAATTGCAATACAGTACCTTAATTAAACGAACACAAGCGTTTTAACTCCTGCACTAGTCTTTGCAAAAAGCAATAGCCATTGCAAATAAAAGGCAACATCTGCTGATGTGAGTAGATGGCAATCTTTTTATTAGCCATTCTGTTCCATGGAGTCAAAGAAGTCCACACAAAACCGCAGATTCTCCCATCGGTGGCTTATGCACACTTCATCTGTGGCTGAATTTCCGATTCACAATCACTAGCAGGAACTGCTCTATCTCCTCTTTAGACACAGAGAAATGTTTTGGCACTGCAGTAGCTACTTGCAGTATTTTAGAACTTGCCAGCTGCTAGGAGTCAGCTTTCTCACTGACACCCATCCAGGCAGCTCAATTTACCCTGCTCCATACTGAGCACCTTCCTGGCATTACACTGGTGGATGCACTTACCATTTGGTTATCTACAGAGCACAACTCCACTTCTGGAAAGATTGTGGAAATGCTATTGTGCTCTAAAAGCCTTTGGAAAGCATTTGCTATAATTTCCCCCCACTTTCAAAAGGGGGCTGCTGTATTAATGCCTTTTAAGGAATCACTCAGATGAGGTAACTTTGCACAAGGTAATGACACCACCCTCAACTGGTACCTTTTTTTTCCATCTTACTCTATGTGATCCTAAAACCTAAAAGGCAAAGCCTGTTTTTGAGTTACAAATACCCACTTCATCAATAGGGGAATCCTAAAGCAGCTTCACCTTGAATCAAGTACTCAAAGACCAAGCAGCAGTTGCAGGCAGGTGAATCTCACGTGCCAGCTGAGAACTGAAATGCATGAAATTTTGGAAACATACAGCCACTTGTACAAGTAGCAGAAACATCGCATTTCAATTTTCATAAGCAAAAGTTAATTGCACTAACGTGCATGGATAGAAATCATTCCTTATCCAAGCTCAAAACGGCTTTTAGCGTTCAAGTGCTAATTAGACTTCTGCATTTGTTACCATTTCAAGCATTCCTCAACTGGCAGAAGCAGCTTCTCTCCTGCACAAATATTCATTGTTTATGTAATTACTATCTGATAGCTCCCTTCAGATGTAGCCTCTTCACTACTGAAGTTTTTACAGATGCACTAAAAATTGAATTAGGCCACTTAATTCAAGGTTACAATACTATTTAAATTCTTCCTCAAAGTTGACCTTACAGACAGGAGGCTACTTTACCTACCCTCTGTCCACCTCCCCACCAGAACATTTTTTGTAGCTTTAGCTGGGCAGTACACAACAAGTAACTGAATTTCTCTTGTATGCCTTGGCCATAAGCTAATATTCATCTTTTTTCCCCCACAAAAGTACTACAAAGATTCATTTTTTTCCACATTCCAGTATTTTATTCTAGCTCAATTGGCTTAACTCCTTGATCCATTGACCTATATAAAAACCAGTAACAACACTGCTTAAAGCTCTTCATCTCCACTCCAGTCTAAGGTTGTCCTTCTCGGTCTTCCCTGATGCAGTTCATTGCTGAAATAAAATTAAGACAGTGAGTTTTAAAGGCAGAGTCTATGAACATTTTCATCTTGAAGCTACTGAAGGCAGATTTTACCACTTAAAGAACAGTGCTGTTAAAAAGTAACAGAGCCAAATCTTTTGGTTCAGGAAAAGCTCCTGGGATGAAGGTCAGACTGAAATGAGATGTTACCTGGCTGGCAAACCCGCATCTTGGTCCTGCTTCCCTGGAAGGAACGCTCTCCTTGCTCAGAATCCCCACTCAGCATCTGTGGCGAGCGTCCATCTTCTCTTCAGCCTGCCAAAGCAGAGGTGCATTAATAATAACATAGAGCAGAGCCTTTACATCGCCACCCACCTCCCCCAACACAAGTCACATCAGATACGAGGGTTTCACAAGCCATTCGCTGAACCCATCACATCACAGAAGCACAGTCTGGGAAAACTGTTCCGGGGCTGGCTGATGCCTTTGATATGCCAGCCAATGTATCATTTGATCCCTAAGCAGAGGGTTAACCACTTTGACATGGCTGCTTAGGAAGTGTGGGCTATGGGAAAAAGTTAATGGCAACAAGTAGGATGGCAAAGAAAGCTACAATTAAAGTGAGCAACTTAATGAAGTCTAGAAAAGAGTCTCAATAGATGAACACATATCGAGTCAGGGAATTCGGTTTCCCATCTTGCTTCCATACCTACTAGCAAGACATGACTGCATGCCCAACTCTGATCTGTGGAACTGAAGTTGTGCCACAAGCCAAAGGTTGCATACGGCATGGGTTAAAATTTTTCCATCAGTTGACCAAAATTGTCAAAGGAATATTTCACAGGTACATTAGACTTTCAAATGAGCTCTCAACAAGAGGAAGGATGCGGACATGAGCAAAAGGAGTTACCTCGAATTACAGGACTATTTCCACATATGAACTAGCCAAGAGAGCAGCTTTCGTCTCAGAGGTTTCTGTTGGAGGCAC